GGGTGAGAGAATTCACCAGAGCAAGAGCGGGGAACAGAACAGGCAGACTGATGAAGTACACTGCTGAGCGGAGCAGCGGGCATGGCAGGAGGTCTGTCGTGCCATGTAGGACCCTCGCTGGTGGCCAGGGATCGAACCGGTGCTGCAGCTTCGCAGCCCAGCGCTCAACTGCTACGCCACCAGGGGAGGCCCTGATTTCGTTTTCAAGGTTCTTCCCCCAAGGTTATTCCTAGATATATTCAGGATATAAATAGGTGTAAACTAGGCCTGCTTACAATGGGGAACTAACCATTCAGTTATTAGGGTGACTTTTTGTGTTTGAAAAATTAATTTAAAAAAGACCAATTCACATGCATAAAGTATACTAATAAATGGGCAAAATTTGGTCTAATCCAAAATAGATTGTTACTAGATAATTAAGGAAAATAGCTACCAATAAGTAAAATGGCTCAAAATTACATTAACAACAGGTCTCCTTTTTTGTAGCAATTCTTTTTTGCCAACTTAATATCGATTTAGCAAATGACTGTTTTAGTATCTTTTTTTTTAATTTTTTTTTTTTTTATAGAGGCATGTTTTATTTATTTATTTGTTTGGTTGGTTTATACATGCACTGGGTACAGTCAGAAGCGCGGGACGGTGAGAGAATTCACCAGAGCCAGAGCGGGGAGCAGAGCAGGCAGAAGGACCGAAGTACACTGCTGAGGGGAGCAGCGGGCGGCAGGAGAGGTCTGCGCGCCATGTGGGACCCTCCTCCAGTGGCCGGGGAGCTGCCGGGGATCGAACCGGCGCCGCAGAGGCCGCGGGCAGCTTCGCAACCCAGGGCTCAACTGCTGCGCCACCGGGGATGCCCCTTAGTATCTTAATAGACAGACTAATACAGAGAAAAGAAGCAGATTTATGGGAGTTAATTTAATATATTGATAACTGGTATTATCATATTCAACATTTTTAAAGATGAAATCAAAATGCAGTTTTACATGTCACGTATCTATAAATTACCCATAATTATAAGAAAATGTCACTGAACACAATTTAATCTATTTTTGAATATTTTAAGTCCATTAGCTTCCCATAATAAAAACCTTGGGACCATTTTTATGACCAAGTATCACCCTTGTACCAGCTGGTAATCTAAAAATATGTAGATATTATATCACATTTGTCCTGATCCTTTGAGACACTATGGAGTGGTCATTACAAAGCAAGTTTAAGAAAGGAAGGAAAAGGAGAGAGGAAGGAGGCAGGGGTAGGGGGAGGAAAGCAGAGATGGAAGCAAAGGGGGAATGAGGGAAAAATATTATAGTTCTATTTATTATTTGTTTATATCTCATAAAAGTAGTATAGGGGGTAAAGATTTCTGGCTAAAGTCAAAGTGTTCTTATTGTTTGAATTCAGAGTAAATTACATTTTGCTTCATTTTAGCTAGTGTCCCCAAATGTCAGACAGAAACAGAACCAGAACTAGCTTCAGTATACATGCATGTGCTATAATTTACCTCATTTATGTATTTTAGGTGGTTTTCATGATGGAGCTACCGGGAGATGTCCGATTCGCATTTCCACATGCCCTCCTTCTTTTGCAGCAATAAATAAATGAATCTCTTTTAGATTGGAAGTAAATTTCAGATCAGTTGCCTCTTATTTCACATCTGATATCAGTAATTAGAAATCAAAACTGGACGCTTCTTCCATTTTGTTAATTTGGCTTCCCTCTTGTTAAGCCACAAAGGGGCTTAATGGTAACAGCTGAATGGTCTGCAGTTGTCTTTCTACATTTTTTAAAAAAATATCTCCAGTGAAGTGGGCTAAACTTGAAAATGAATGAGTAATTAATTCTTCCACAAATCCTACCTTAGTGAACTGTATTCTAAGTTACTTTTCCTCTTGTGCTTCATCCTGTTTCCTGAGCTCTGTGGTCAGTCTCTCCTCTAAATCCACATACTAGGAAAGCCTCTGGGGAGATCTGTTTTTAACAGGTCTCACTTTGGAAAGTCAGGGTCAAAGTTGGGGAAGGAAAACGAAGAGAAGAGGGCCCTGGTCTGGCCAGATGGACCAGGCCACCATTAGGGAAGAAGGAAAAACAGCAAGTGGACATGCTAACCTTGCTTACCCCCACCCCACACCTCTCACAGTTTACAAAATGGCTGAATACTTTAGGGAATTTGCTTTCATGTTAACATAAATGAAGTTTATAAACGATTATAAATTGAATGATGACATCACACTTGAATGGTCTCAAGTATTTTTAATAAAGAAAAGAGAAAATTATAATGACTCATGATTCTGTTACATCGATGAATTCTATACTTAAAGAATAAGAATTCACATGTTAAAGAATTTAAAGAGAATATAATATAGAAAATGCAAATAAAGGTCTGTTTTCTTATCTAGCCTAAATTGCTTTTGCTAAAGTTAAGCAGGGTTAACAATGCATATGTAGCCTTAGGGAAATGAAGACACTGCATGTATGCTAACTCATGCCCATGTGGTATTTGTGTGCAAATATTTTACAAATGGGACTGATAACACACACTGATCTCCACATCTTCCTAGTTTTGAGCTGCTTTTTAAAAATAAATATATCTTTGGAGATCTTTCCACACAGATCTGTCTTATTATTTTGAAGGACAGTATTTTGTTGTATGTTTGATTTGTCCTTCCTGATGGACATTTAGATAGTTCCATTTTGCTGTTGTTGTTCCTATAAGAGTGTTTTAGTAGTAAATTTATATAAAAGTCTGCAAGTGAATTTGGAGGGTACATCATTTCTAACAATATATTTTCTGCTCAGACTATGTTCATTTTAAAAAATATTGAAGGATAATAGCTGAACTGTCCTTCTAAAAGGTATATATTACTTGTATTTGATTCTTAGGCAACCTGTGTGTCATCAAACATTGATAAATGGTAAGTAAAATGGTAAATTTAAATTTGCATTTATCATTTAAATTTGCATTTCCTTTTATTATGGATGAGTTTGGAAATATCTTGCCATAGACAGACTTACTGGCCACTTTATTTGAATTTTTGATTAGATCCTTTACCTCTTATTCTGAATTGTTTGCCTTTTTCCTATTGACTTAAAAAGTGAGCACACGAGGGCCTCCCCGGTGGCGCAGCGGTTGAGCGCTGGGTTGCGAAGCTGCCCGCGCCCGAGGAGCCGGTTCGATCCCCGGCTGCTCCCCGGCCACCAGAGGAGGGTCCCACATGGCGCGCAGACCTCTCCTGCCGCCTGCTGCTCCCCTCAGCAGTGTACTTCGGTCCTTCTGCCTGCTCTGCTCCCCACTCTGGCTCTGGTGAATTCTCTCACCCTCCCGTGCTTCTGACTGTACCCAGTGCATGTATAAAACAAACAAACAAACAAATAAATAAATAAAGCATGCCTCTATTAAAAAAAAAAAAAAAGTGAGCACACGAAAAACATTACAATATAACTATCATACCTATTTTTAAATTTTTTACACTGTAGATATTAATGAAAATATACCTTTGTCAGAAATGTGTTATATTTTCCATCTGTTTATTATCTTATGAATGTATGATGCATTTTTTTCTGTATAGAAATTTTAAACATCTTTTAAATGTAATACATTTTGAAATGCATCTTCAACTTTATGACTTCTATGCTTACTTCAAAAGGACTTTTCATTGGTCAAGATTATAAATTCTCCAGTGCTTTAATGCTTTGTTATAACATTTTGTTTTATTTTTTAAAGACACGCTTTACCACCAAAGTTTCTTCAAATAAAGAAAGTTTTAAGTCTAATGTAATCTGATGTTAAGACACTAGAACATAGAAATCTGTGACATTAAAATGAAATCTTGGCTACACATGAAATCTTGCATCACTCAGTCATTCAAGAAAGAACCTATTTGCTAGTCTTAAAATATTTTAGTGGATTAATTACCTTTGACTCACCTGGAATTTATTTGGGCTTGTCAGTTGCTTATTATATTGATTGAACTATCAATCTATTATTACTGTTTTGAAATAATATCTTGATCATGTCATTTCCCAGTTATATATGGGACTTTTTCACCAATCTATGCACCTGTTTCTTTTTTTATTTTTTATTTTTCTCATCTAATTGCAGGTCTAGCCTCCTCCTCCTAGGGGATAAGGTAGGAAGGAGCAGGAATCTTAACTGTCTTGTTTGTGGTTATATCCACTTAAAACTGCATTCAAAAATACTGGTTGAACACATAAACAAGAGAAAGCTCTATTTCTTGATTCATCAGTGTTAAATATCATTTATTGGTTGTCCACATAAAAAGGGGAAATCAGTAATACTGATACATCTTCTCTGGTCTTCCCTTCACCTTTTGATGTCCTGTTGTTTAATTATTATCCTGAAATTTTCAGTAATTGGAATATGAACCTTCTGAAATCGCATACTGATTTAATTTTAGTTATAAGTGTAAATGTGTTCAGTGAACCCACCTGTTAACTTCTCAGGGCACTTCTTCTAAGGTAGGCTTTATTGAGAAGAGCTCATAGATCTCATGAGATTCACTCTATTCTTATTTAATGAATCACCTAACACTTATACAGTGCTTTCTGCATGCCAGATACTGTTCCATGTGCTTTACAAATATTAAGTAATTGAATCATAAAATATTAAAGTTCTTGAATTTCTGTATTTAATTCAGTTGGCATTAAGTTCACATGTCCTCTTGGCTTGGCTTGGGGATTTTTTTGCAAACCTCCCTTTATCCATGCTCCATCCCAAATAATTCAAAGGCGTTCCTCCTCTGCCTCTGGCAATGGAAGCCTGAGGCCAACTTCATTTCCACCTTATACTCAACTTGCTTTTTCTACTTGTATTTCTGAGGAAAATCACTTTGATCCTTGAGCTTGAAACTTTAGCAGGATTTATGTGTGTTTGCTATTTATTCATTTATCCTAGAACACATCATAGTTGAACACATTTAATAGATTTGTTAATTTAAATCATTTGATTTCATGGTTTTAGCTAACTTGGGTTAAAAGCGGATGCCATGCTCACTTCGTCAGCACATAAACTAAAATTAGAACCACACAGAAAATTAGCATGGCCCCTGTGCTAATGACATGTAAATTCTTTTTGAGATCCATCAAAAAATAAATCAGAGTTGAGTCCATGAAGCCTTATAATCCCACTATGTTCACTGACAATCAATGACTTTCCCAATGTTTAAGGCAGGATTTATTCTACTTTCTCAGTTGTGGCAACTAGAGAAACTGTTAAGGAGGTAGGAATAACAGTAAGAGACTATCATAATTGATAGTCACATTTATTACTTACAAAGTATCAGTAACTCTGCTAAACACTGAGCATAAATTAACTCATTTGATCCTCACAACACTATAAAGTATGTACTTTTATTACCTCCATTTTATAGAGGGAAAATAAAAGGCACAGGGAAATAAGATACCAGCTCCAAGTAGCAGAGACAGTATTTAAATCTTGGAAATCTGATACCAGAAGTGATGGTGTTAAACCTTATTTTATGCTGCCGATACCACAGTCGAAATCACATTAAAGTTTCTATGTAGCTCATGTGGATCTGAAAAGAAATATGGGTGTCCTAGGAAGGTTGGTCCATCCATTCATTCAGATATGCCACACATTCCTAAGGGCAGGGTTTGTTCCCATTTATGCTGAATTGATTGGGTGATTTCATTTCATCTTGGCTCATCCTTACTCAACAAAATCAATTTGTGGATAGTCCTTTTAGCATTCTTAGCTGCGCATTTTCATATCATCACAGAAAATGCTAACAGTGGACTGCTATGTTGCAGCAGGCCATCTTTGTCTGCTTATGCCTCGGTGAGAGAGGAAAGGACAAACTTGGCAGCCAGCCATGTAATTAGAATTAACTTTGGCCAGGAAGGCGTGACAGATGAGCCGGCCCGATCACTCCAATATTTGCCTGTCTACATGTGGAATTCCTGTCTTAGACCATGGCACAGAAGGAAATGTTCCTCTTTTGAAATTTTTCTCTGTATACCGATCAAATTGTTCCCTCGGGACACATCATAAAGAAATGTCATTGAATACTCTAATTGTGGCATTCACCAGAGCTATTTTTTAAAAATCAACATTGGTCACAAACTCAGATTTTAATCAAAACCAGAATTCTGGTGAGTTGAGTGGTTTTTACAATATTTTTCAGCTTAAATATTTGATAGTCACTGGTCCCATAAATTAAACCTGCATTCAAAAGATTTGAAGTAGATTAGTTTAGCATTTCACAGTTAAGTTAAAATAGGAATACTGCATTCTTTCTTTGAGGACAACGCGCGTGCACACGCGGGTGCGTGCACACACACATGCACACGCACTCTCACACACTAACATCACCCTACCAAAATACTTATTTTTCTCTCCACTAAGTATTACTCAAAAGTATCTGAAAGTTTAAAATTCAAACTTGGCAGTTGTATAATCCTCCCAGGGGAGGAAATTCAGGAGAATTTAAAGAAAATTGGTTTAGCAATGTGTTTTGAATATAGGCAACAGAACATTTTCTATTTGGGTACAACTACATCAATGAAACTAGAGTCAGAGGAAGTCTTGTCCGATGCCATTTAGAAGGTTGTCAGAGCTAAAGGAGGCGTTAGAAGAATACTAGTTGGAACAGAGAACTAACTGCCTTAAGGAAAGACTCTATTTCCTTCCATTTCCTGCTGTAGATAAATGAGCACCAAATATAGGAAACCATAAGGTCATTTCAGCAAATAAAAACCAACCCATCATTCTGGGTATCATATGTTGTGGTTATTGCTGCTGGTACTTTGCTCACTGTGATGACTTCAAAGTGTAACTGCACATTTTCTGTCGCTCCTCCTGCACGCCTGGATCCCAGTAGGCTCACAATTGCTTCCATCTAGAAATTGCAGAGGAACTTATAGTAGTTGACTTCTGAGACCAAATCGTAAAAAGCCAGGTAGTTTCCACCTTGTTCATGGTAATGCTCACTCTTGTAACCCCAAGTTGCCGGGCAATAACCCTGACTACCCTGAGACTGCTACTAAGAAGATGGTAGAGCTCACTGGTTAAGAATACAGATGCTAGGACCAGACTGTGCAGGTTCAAATCCCAGCTCTGTCAACTACCAGTTATATAATCTCAGGAAAGATACTTCATCTCTGTGCCTCACTTTCCTCATTTATAAAATGGGGAGAAATAATAGTCTGGTGCACAGCACATGTGGTCTTACCTGTATACCATACTAGTTGTTTAGGAGGTCAAATGTGTTAATAGCTTAGAACAGTGCTGGCAAATAACAGACACTAAGGAAGTATCTGTTAAGTGGAAACACACATATCCTCTCAGACCTGCATCACAGTTTCAGAAGTAGGTGCATTCAATACAGTCTAAAAGCAGGTCTTTCTGCATTTTGGGATTCAGAGAACAGATCCCTTTGGCAGCAAGTGAAAAGGTTGTTAAAGATCTGATAAATGTAAGCAGTTCAGACCAAAGAAAATGCTAGGGTCAAAAAAGAAGGATGCTTCAGAAAAACCTCTTTTGCTTTTATTTCCCTTCCTACATTCTAAGCTGATGTTTGCTGTGTTTACATCACTGAATCGGGCATTTCCCTACTCATGTCCAAGCACTGAGTAAGATATTTGAACTTATAAAATTTACAAGTCTAAAATAGTTACCAGCATGTACTCCCCCACTCCACAGCTTGCCTCACCCTGTGAGGGATTGGGTTATAAAAATGAATGAAATCATCATTCCTGTTTACTGGATAATCCCAAAGCTAAAATTATAAAAAGGAGTAAGGGAGACAGCAATGAACATTTAAGGAAAATGAAGACATATGGGTATAGAGAGACCTCTCTAGATATCTCTCAGGGTAAATTACTGGCAAACATATCATAGTCTGATCGTCTGTGGTTTTCCTTCATTCATTTTTTTAAATGAAAAAGGGAGGTAAATTTTGCTCGTCGAAATCCACTTAAGATACAGGTCTATTAGCTTAAGCAAATATACAAATATACATGCCTTCAAAGATGCCAAATGTGCTAGTCATTAGCCAGTCTGCAATATTTCTCATATTCTGGACTGGAAACTACATTTCCCAGGTTCTCTTGTACCGTGGCTTCCTGACAGATTGGGCCAATGGGGGTCTGATGGAGGGCTAGGGGGTGGGAAATGGAGAAGCCAGGATATTTCAGATTACATCTGTGGGGATGGTTATCTTCTCCATTACTTTAATTCTCACTGGAAAGACCTCGCCATAGTTGTGGTGATTTCCAAAAAAATCACCCAGATTCTGGTCCTGGTGACCACATTTTCTTCTGTTGAACTTAGGGTTGGTGTTTGCTTCTTGGTATTACTAGTCTCTGGATTGCTCACCATCCCCTGCAGGGCTTTTACCTCTCCCTCATCTATGTCATCAAGTCCCTCTACTAAATTCCTTCTGTTTAAAATACCTAGGGTGATTTCAGCTTTCTTGATTGGACTTCATAGATAACCTAAGTAACGTCTAAAAGTGGTTTTTGATTTAAAATTTATAGGAATAGTGTTGTTTTATTGACCTGACACATATATAGGCACATACTTTATTGACCTGCCTATATTAAGTATTCTTTGATGCTAACTTTAATTCTTTTGAGCAAAATGAGTTCTGTTTATGATATGCATAGAAGTAATCATAGTTGCTCATTTGGTGGACATGAGAGTTGAGTTGCTCAAGAAAAAGAATTATCTATTCAATTTCCTTTCAATCTACCTTCTCATGGGCTCCTCATTGTACATCCTCTGTTTTTGTCATACCAGCTGCACAGTACATTAAACTCACCTATGGTCTATGATACATAAAAATTCATCACCCATTAGAAATAGTTACTCTCACTTCCATCATTTAGCAGATAATTAATATTTAATGGTTCTTTTCCTCAAGTAACACTTTTATTGACCTCAGCACCAAAGACTTGGCATGAATCTTTCCCCATAAACCATTTTATTTGTTCACTTGGTATCAATTTGGGGGTCAGGATATAGAATTTGGGTGCTGGGCTCTATCAGGAAATGCTGTGATACCCTTAGGGATTTGAAATTCAGTAGAGAAGCTAGGATCTGCATTCAGAGCTGACCGTTTGCACGGAGGCTTTATTGCAGCTGCAGACTTAGCACATATGAAAAGGTTTTCTGTGCTCAGCTTCTGGATGGGGCAGATTGCATCACTAGGAATTCCTGTCTTCTAACACATAGTGACCAACACGCCTTAATAAGCATTTGCCTTTTTATTTTCAGGTCAATAACGTCATGCTTTCTGTTCATTATGGAATCAGTTTTTTTTTTTTAATTTCCTTTTTAAACTAGAGGGAAAGGCATAAAATAATAATTCCAATGCCGTGACTCTGGTATGCCCTGTGCACTAGTAGTCAGCCAACATAACTCAGTGCAAACGATGGGCCAATGCTCAGGTTTAAATAAGGCAGGATTTCTGGCAAGAGAGGTTGTTGTTAGGGGAAGGTGCTTGTGTATCCTTCCATGAGGTAGATGTTCTCGGAGCAGGTGGGAAATTTGCCCCATGCTGTCAAGGATAGCATCTTCCCAGCAAAAGAGTCAAGGGTTCAAAGTTAATCCATTTGGGTTGGAAACACTGACAGCAGAATCTGAGGGAAACAGAAACGTCACATAGGACACAGCACAGACCATCTCAGGAAGCCAGAAGATGAGCTCAGTCAGCAGGCCAACATCACAGCTATGAAAGGCCCAATGAAATGGTGCAAAGGTAGGGGTAGGGGAATTAGAAAGAGCAGACTGGCTCATGGGTTTCAGTGGGCTGGGCCAGCAGGGAACTAAGCTCAGAGGGGCTGCCTCTGGAGGGGTTTCTGCCTTCCCTTGACCCTGCCCTACCTTCAGAGTTATCCTGTATCCCTACAGCACTTACATATGATAAGGTTGTGAAATGTCCCTCCAAAGAGCAGGAGCCACTGAGCTGCTCTGAAATGTCATAAAGTACTGATGGATATTTTCTGGCATACTACTTCTCAATACTGTTCCCCTGTTTGAAGACCCCTTGCCATATTATCCACATTGTGGCAAACAATGACTTAGATAAATTTTCTCTCCAGATCAATGAATCATGCAATCCTAAGATACT